CCACCCTCCCTCCTCCTCCAGGATACTCGACAGCGGTCTGTGTGGAGACATGAGAGAACAGAACCCAGTACGTCGCTGGCTGCCTGTAGCCGCGGCCATAGCCTTTATCCCGCTCTGTGGGCCCTTCCTGGATCTCTCGGTCGACTTCTTTCTGGAAAGCCTGCTCGGCACACACAGATACCTCTGGAACATCTGACACACTACTACTACTAGTCTATATATCACACACTTACCCCCCCCCCACACACACACACACATACATATAAACACACACATATACATATTACACATATACACACACACATACTTTTTTTTTTTTTAATTTATAATAAAGGCCGATCCATTTAAACTTTGATGCATCTGAACCACAAATATTTGACTTTCATTTTCATAATATTCATTAGTAATCAATCTAGCACTAGCACGCACATACTATAGCGAAATCGGCAGGACGCGGAAGTCTTTTCGTTCTGTTTGATTTTTGCAATGTAAGCCCCTACATGTTTTAAAAAAGGAAATACATCAGTTATTATAATAAGTTGAAGAAAAAACTCGGGTGCTGAAAACCTATTAACCAAGTACTAAGTGCAAGCTATTGCTTTCGTCTGTCCAGTTAAAACGGGATAAAAAGTAAACCGCTCTGTTTTAGCCTTCTCAAGTCTTCCAACGTGGGCTTAAAAGTTGGTCTGGATGATCAACAGAACATGAATTGAAAGCTCCTTAATGAGACCACTGCAAAACAAAGTTGTTCCAAGACATTTTCGTTGTTGTTTTAGCCTGAAGGTAAAAGAGGGTCCAAAAAGTAGTAAATCTAGATGACTAATGATTTACACCATATCTAAAACATTAAAAAGTTGCATATTTTATGTCTTTTCATCAACGCCACACTTTAAAACATGTCTATGTCATGTGTTTGACCACTTGCTGCAGAAGTGCCATGGAAAGTCATTTGCGCTATGGCAAGTCAAAAACATGTGCTAGAATTTTCTATTCAATGCAGAAAGACGAAAATGAGAAAAGCTACGACACCAGTACTTCTACTACTATCAAAAGTTATGTAATAAAGAATGTATGCTAAAGTGTACAATAAATCCTCCAAATCGAACATGGAAGTTAATAATCTCTATACCGGTACATGTAGTTTGAAAATAAGAACATGTTATATAGGCCTGCTGTTGAAAACATATGAGTAATATGAGTACCAATGTCTCTTTTTGAAAGAAATTTGAGACTACTATAAATCTGCCTTTCCTATGAATTGAAGTATTTGCAAGTAAGCATTATATCGATTTTGGAAAAGGTTAATTATAATACAGTACAGTCTTGTACATGCTCACAATGGTAACAAGAGTTCTCTCATACAATGCTGATAGTCAGCTGGCTACTTAATCATAATGCATACAGTCCTAGCTTTTGGTCATGTAAACCCTCGTAACACATGATAAATAAATGAATATAATTTTGAGTATCAATTTTACAACTGTCTTGCTTTTATATATATCTAGATTTTTAACATATTGTGAGGGAATGATTTTATATAATTTATACATATTATAATAAATTATTATAAAAACCCACTATACTATAAATTAAAGCAATCCAGACTATATCATTTATAAAATAAACATTCTCCAGAGTTCAACGAAATTGATGAAAACTGATTATTAGGCAGCCAGAGCTAGACGTTAGATACAAAAATAAGGCCATTGTAGATAAAAACAGAACTAAAATGTTCCCCTAAAAATTGATACATGTCACAAACTTGTAGGCCTATCTCTGAACACATTTCAATACTGGTACTTCACCTCAAGCACATTTCTTAACTTTAAGGAAAATGTTCAAACAATTTAAATTGCCATAGATAGCAAAGCCATATATTATATAGATCTACATGTATTTCTATCAAAAGATTCATTTTAGAATGTAGGCTATACCATTTCTTTCAGTCTATTCATTTTGACAAGCAGTGTGTATTTCTTAACAAGCATTGTAACAGGGGTTCTCGAGGTCTAGAGGTCACGGTGTTCGCCTCTTATTCAATAGATCCTGGGTTTGAAACCTGACAGGGACAACGAAGGAAAAATTTCTTCTCTTATTAAATGTTCTCCTTTCACATCCTTTCCTGCTCTAATTAACTGTGTTCTGTCATCTGTTTTCGTCTCCACTTTGTGCCCCAACCCCTCTCCCCTTTTTACCCCCTCCTCTGGGCTCCTGACTATTTCTGCAGCCTTTCTACTGCTACTCCTTGGCTCCTTCTGGCTGCTGTCTTTCCATCATACCCCGCATAAGGGTGAAAAATCTCCGAGGTCCTTGCGCAAGTTGCACACATTAAAGATCTCTTGGTGGTCTAAATAAAAGAATAGGCTTTGGCCGCCATGCGTGCAAAATTCAAAATTAATTTTACCCAACTGAAAATTTAATGTTTAAATAATGTCTCTCGCGCACTCATATGACCTTATGCAGTTGTGACCGTCGTAAAACACTTATCAAAACAAACACATACCATACCATGCCACGCCACATACCAAAACAAAACAAAGTAACACAGAACTTGTTAATAATAATATTGAAATTTTTAAAAAGACGAAGGCGGAAAATACAAATCAGTTCATTTTAATTTCACATTTAAAAACCATCAAGCATCAACCATCAAATCAATAAAGTTCCAGAGACAAATGCACTACATTTACGCCATTCTCGCTCTTTCTCTAGCAATTTTTCTTTGAAGATACCGTTTTCTGGCCTCCTCGATATCTTTCACCGAGTTGTGATGTGGATAAACTTTCTTGGCAGGATCAACACTCGGAGTGCTGTTCTCTTTCCCTCGCTTTGGTCCGATGACAGCAGCGGTCTGTTTTCTCATTTCTTTCAGATTATCCACGATACTATCGTTTACTTCCTCTGAACGCGCCCGGGGTGAATTATCTGAACCAGGGGAAGTAACCATGTCGCTTTCGCCAGTGTTAGACTTAAGTCCCCTGTGACTACCAGATTCGTCTCCCTTTGATGATCTGGATTGTGTCTGAGTGTCGTAGGAATGTCGTTCTCCAGAAACAGACTGTGACTTCTCTCTCTCGGGAGAACGAGAACGATTTCTTCTTCTGTTCTCAGATGATGATTTCAAACTTTTCCTCGGAGCTGGAGGACTGTTCGACCTTGACCTAGATCTAGAACGCTTTCTTCTGCCACCTGATTTACTTTGACCTTGGGTGGCATCTGGAGAATGTCTTCTAGTACGAGGAGAGTTTTCTTTCTGCCTTTGTGGAGAGGTATCCGAGCCAGGTGATAAATCGGCTCTCTTCTTCCGAAACTGGCTGGCAGCTTGCACCTTGCTGCGCTTAGAAAACTGGACTTTGTCTTCTTTTCTCCCCGATGTTTTCGGTTGCTCCGAGTCGCTGAAATGCGGAAAGCAGTACAAACATAAATCAGTGCAACAACAATGATTTAAAAAAGACTGAAGAATAGAGGAAAATAAAAGAGGAGGGCAACAAACAAGAAGGAGGAGGAAAAAACGAGGGGGAGGAAAGAAGGAGGAGGAGGAGGAGGAATGTGTTTACCATTACTATGCTGTGCAAGGGAGAGCCCGGTAGGCTCATGTAACCTGATGCTCTAGATGATGATAAGTGGGTCTGTTTTCCATTGTGAACACAGGGTGATTTGAGTTCGAGACACTTGTATCGAAAAAATATGACGCCTTTTTGAGATGAGCCGTTTGACACATCCATGTGGGCGTTGAAGAAAACTGTTCCCAATACGAAGAAAATATAAAGGTTCAGTTTGGGATAGGCATATTATTCGAGCTATCCGTGAATTAGTATTTTCGATGTTTGAATTATCTGAGCTCAACTGTAGTTCTGGTGCAGTGGTCAGGCTCTCCACCATTACAGACAGAAAATACGAGTTCAATTCCTAAAAGTGAAAGTTTTATTATCGGGAATCTTCCACTTGTCTGCTTGGACAATGCATCCCTCTCAGCCTGGGGGTTACCAATTTAAAATTTTAAAGATCTGTACAAGCCCAACAAGTAGTTAGTGTGTGAAAACACCATTAGTGTTGCTGCTTTGGTTCCAAAATTAAAATCACCTTAACCCTTAAAACCCTGAATTCTTCTTTTTCATACCTCCTTAGAATCCTGAATTAAAATTGAGATACTAGAAAAATCTCAGGTTAGTTCATTGTTTTATTTACTGTGTCTTCAATTGTTGTTAGATTTTACTAAAGTTTGAAAACGATAAAGTTGGCCAGCTATTACTAGCGGTATAGGAAACTACGGCGTCAGCTGTTACTGGCGGTATAGGGTTAAGTTGGGGGGGTTAGAAACACACAGTTGTGAAGAAATCAAAGTTCTGCCCAATGTCTTCAAACAGTTGAGTGTGACAAACAACTTATTTTGCCAGGATGCAAAACATGTGGTCCCAAATTGAGTTCTTTTCGTTCAGACCACCAAAAAATTGCAAATTAATGCAGATTATGAGATACAGTGGAACTCGGTTTCAACGAGCTCGGATTCAACGAGAACTCAGATTTAATGAGATGAAATAGATTCCCCGTTTTTATTCTTCTTTAAAATCAATAAAAATAACCTGGATTCAACGAGCGCTTAAATCAGCGAGCTCGGATTCAACGAGGAGGTCGCTTCCAGGGTGAACAGCCCCCGCAGACATGGCTTCGCTCTTTTGTCTCCCAGAACGAACTTTATCTATTCCCGGAAACCATCCATTGCACCTGCATCGTGAACCATTATACACTTAGCCGATTGCATGCGACCAACCAGCGGCCTTTTTTCATACCAACACATGCGTTGTTGGCACATGCACGTGTCTACCCTGGTGTGTGTCGGGGTTGGACGGGTGGCCTGCACACATGTGGCTGTGTGTGCGTGTCAGGGAGAAGGGGGCACTAGCAGTCCGGACGATGAACGTCGCAGATACAAACACGTCACAGTCTTTTTTTTTCTCTAGGCAACTGATCATAAATTACAATGATAAGCTAGCCTAGTCTCGACGTCGATCTACGTAATGAATTGTGCGCTGGTCTATGGAATCAAAAGTTGCCGTATGCTAGGCTCTTCACAGCATTACAACTTTTTGGTAAACAATCGAGATGACACAGGCGTGTGCATTTGAAAGAATCGGTCTTTTTTTTTATTTGCACAGCTCATAATAATATGAAGGCATTTCAGGCACTACTCGTGACTTCTCTTTATACATTACTTGCTTAGTGCCTGTAATTATCTACACAAAACCTCATGTTTGCTATAACGAACACTCGGATTCAACGAGGTTTTAAGCCAGGCCCGGCGACCTCGTTGAATCCGAGTTCTACTGTATTGACCTCAGTTGTTTTTTATGGGG